TTGGTAGCCCAGGCTGGCCTCGAACTCACAGAGATCCACCTGGCTCTGCCTCCCAAGTGCTGGGATTAAAGGCGTGCGCCACCAACGCCCGGCTGTCCCCTTTAAATTTATATACTAATGATTTGCATTAATTAGGAGCCATCATAGAACATAAACAATAGCATACATATAGATAAGTAAGAATAGAATGGGCTTTATGGGCTCCCTTCCTGGGGTGATTGGCAAGGCCATGTTTCATCACCCCAGGGAAGGTCTCTCACACAACATGTCCCTAGCACCTTGTCTGGTCATCTTGAGAACTACAATAGGAAAATAGAAGGAACTGAGTTGTTCCAAGGACATCCAGAAGAGAGAAATTTGAAGATGCTTCGGACACAGGACCGATGCAGTTGGGAAGAGGGGAAGCATCCCAATGTTGGCTTTGGCTTTAGATAAACATATAGACAGCTCTATATACAGTTTCCAGCTAGAAAACAGAGTACAATGACTTCCTTCCTGCTCCCTGGAAGGATATGGTAGGAATCAAGAGGCATTCTTTTGGGTGTTCACCATAAGAAAGAGGGAACTTGGGACACCTGCTGCACATTATTAAACCCAGTATATCTGATTTAAGTTTTTAAACTGATACACTGTAGCTGCATCTCCTTTGAGCATGCATGCTACATTATAAAGGTGGTTTTCTCCTGTAACCCCAAATGCCTCCTTGAAACAAAGCAGTTTTCCTGAGTTGGATGTCTCAACCTAATCAAGCTATTAAAAACCAAACTGCAGTGCAAAAAAAAGGTGCAGGCAGGCTCCATTTCTGTGCCAACTCACTGCAAAATTGGCCTTTACAAACTATAATTAGGAAAGAAGAGCCCACGGTGGAGCCAAATGGAGGGAAAGCCCAGCAGAGTGAGTGAACGCCAAGGGGATGGGGAGCTTCCATCCATGGGCGCTGCCCTCTTGGAGCTGTCTGCCCCTTTGCCTTCTTTCCCCATCGTCTCAGCCTGGGGCAGCTCCCACTTCTCAGGAACCTTAGGATCCAGGTACAGGAGGATCAGCGTCCAGTATTGGTCTGCATGGGATGTCCGGAGGTCAACTGACACTACGGCCGAATCTCAGAGGAACCTTCCTCTTCTTCCAGGAGAGGGTTCGCTGAATGCCTAATCAGGCTGTAGAAGAAATAGAAAGACCAAACACAAAACAATAAGGCAGAGAGATCATCTCTTCCCGGGCTAGCTGTCAAAGTTAGCGTCAACCACGGTTCCTGTCCCAGCAAAGGAGGAACAGGAGTAGGAAGGAAGGTGGCCCCAGACCACCTATCTCAGGGTTTCTTTCAAGTCTCCAAGTGATTTCACAGTGTAGGACTCCGTGTGATTAGTAGAAAGGACTACCAACTGATTATAGTGTTTCTACTTCACAAAGAAGCTATGGTATAACTAAGGGTAGTTGTGAGGTATTGTATTCCCACGTCACTTCTGCGTATCTTTGATAGTTACAGAGGAAAATGGACTCAGCTGTTTTGGTCCCAGAGGCAGGAAGCAACTACAAGTAAGGAGACGTGTGTTGTGTTCTACTCACAGATGTTGTAGAATATTATTTTAAGACCCGTTACATTTGTTTACACTGTGGAACATTTATTTAATAATGCAAAGATGTGTTGCATTCTTTTAAGTTTCATTTGTTTAACTCTGTGAAGCTGTGCTAATTTGCCTGTCTAAAACACCTGGTGGTCTAATAGAGCTCTGAACAGCCAATAGCGAGGCAAGAGAAAGAATAGGTGGGGCTGGCAGGCAAAGAGAATAAATAGAAGGCAAAAATCTCAGAGGAAGAAGAGAGATCAAGGAGCAAGAGAAGGAGGAGGATGCTAGGGGCCAGCCACCCAGCTACCCAGCCAGACACGGAGTAAGAGTGAATGTAAGAATTATAGAAGTAAGAGAAAGTAAAAGCCCAGAGGCAAAAGGTAGATTGGATAATTTAAAGTTAAGAAAAGCTGGTTAGAAACAAGCCAAGCTAAGGCCAGGCATTTATAATTAAGAATAAACCTCCAAGTGTGATTTATTTGGGAGGTGGGTGGCAGGCCCCCCAAAAGAGCAGAAACAACCAACAACACATACAAGAGGATATATATAGGGTGTGAGCATGGTACACAATCATTTTCTCCCTGATGTCTCTCCTGGTATCAAGACACATGCGGTAAGCCATGGGATGGCCTTTGAATGGACTGAGTGGCTGCTTCTCCTCTATCTTGTCAGTGAGGATTCCCTAAGAGGAGTGAGGCAAGTTTTGTAGGTTAGACTCCACAGTAAACAATGAAGAGGAAGTTGGGGTTGCAAAATAAAATTGAGTCCTCCACACAAAGTCCTGTATTCCCCTGGACACTGGGGAATATCTCTATCCTCCTATCTCTTTACCACCCAATATGTTCTGATAAATAACAGCTGTCTCTCTACTGGTGGGGGAAGTGAAGAGGGGATGGGGGGCTTGAGGGGGGTGGGGGTCTGATTTGTAGCATGGTATAGTTCCTGTGATGTCAATCCTCCCATTGTGATAAATTCCAAACATTCCAATGTGAGGTCACTGAATGAAGCATTAAAAAGAATATATGCAGTTTGTTCCAATGAACCGGAGAGGGCTGGAACCAGTTTCCCACCAATGTTTCATCTTCAGCCACGTGAACACATGTGAATTTCATTGAATTAATGCTGTTATAGGACTCAGATGTAAAAAAAAAAAATATAGAGATGCAAGCTTTAGGAATTGGAAAAGGGAGACCGTCTCTGCTTTAGGAGGCCAGACATTTAAAAAGAAGTATTGCCGGGCGGTGGTGGCGCACGCCTTTAATCCCAGCACTCGGGAGGCAGAGGCAGGCGGATCTCTGTGAGTTCGAGGCCAGCCTGGGCTACCAAGTGAGTTCCAGGAAAAGGCGCAAAAGCTACACAGAGAAACCCTGTCTTGAAAAAACAAAAAAACAAAAAAACAAAAACACAAAAAAAACAAAAAAACAAAAAAGTATCAGAGAGTATATTTCAGCGTGTGTGGCAGGAAGCAGGTCAAAGTTCTAGTTGTCATTTTATGACAGTGTGACTGAAAATTAATATCCCAAATTACTCTGCACTTTGCAATAGAAACCTCCCTTTCACACTCTTTAAGAACTCTCTGGGATTTTTGTTCACTTGTTTTTGCAACATCGGTGATTGATTGGGCCTATTGGCTTGATGCATGCTAGGCACGTCCTCAGCCTGCTTAAAACAAACAAACAAACAAACAAACAAACAAACACTACTGAGGGGATGTGTCCCTGGGAGCCCCTCCCACTATTAGGAGTTCTTTCTCACTTTCACCTAATAAATCTACATTTTCTTTGAAAAGCATTATTTGATACAAGGTCTCACTGTGCTGCCCAGGCTGACCCTAGACTACAGATCTACTGCCTCTGCGTCCTGAGCTACTGAGGTATGGACATGTACCACCATGGCTGGCTCTTTAAGAAATTCTTAGTCAAATCTTCAGGCTGTTTTTTTCACTTACATGAGTCACTGTGCTGTAGGTGATGTAGTATCAGGCCCCAAGATGATCAACTTATAAAGAGGGAAGGGTTGTTTTTGCTCACTGTTTTGAAGGTTTCAATCCACATTCAACTGACCCAATTGCTTTGGCTAGAAAACACAGGAGGGCAGAAAAAACAAACAAACAAACAAACAAAACAAAACAAATAAAACCAGCTGATATCACAAGCTAGAGAGTGGAGAGGGGTGAGGAAGAGACAGAGAGGTTCCAAATTCCCCTTCCAGGTGAGATCCCAAGAGTCCTGAAGACCTCCTAACAGTTCTGCTACATCCAATAGCACCACCCCAGTTACCAAGCTTCTAACACATGTCCCTGGGGAACACTGAAATCCTAAACTATAGGAACAAATACGAGGAAATACAATTCTTCTCAGAGGATGTCACAGTGTCACAGACTAAAACCAGATTCTACTTACCAGAGAGCATTGAAGTCCAAATCCATCTTACAATCCTCTCTTATTTATTCAAATCAATAACAGGATTGTAAACTCCAGGAGATAAATAGCTTGGTTCTGCTAATTCTACATCACTGGTGTCTAGAAATGTGCAGGGGAAATGCTCAATAGATACTGTTTGTTTGGGAGTGGCTTTTTGAACATGTACATAGTGCTTAGTGCAGCGTGGAAATTATATGAATTGGCACAATCCAATATGACAGCCACTAACCACAAGCAGCTATGAACACTGGAAAAGTAGGTCTCCTGAAGTTAACAAAGTGAATTTTAAATTTTATCTCACTTTACCGTCTTAATTGAGATAGCCTAGGTAACCAATGGCTACCACAATGGATATCACAGTAATAAGCCTCCTAAGGAGGCTATGGTGTGTGGATCAGCAGTGCTGGTACCATCTGGAAGCTTGTTAAAAGTATAGAATCTCAGGATCCACCCTTGCCCTAGGGAACCAGAATATAGTTCTCTTCCGTATGTGTATATACTCATCAAAGTCTGTGAAGCTCTTATGATCAAAATATACTGTGTTTTAAAAGTCTAAGAAGTTTTCTGTCATGTTGTCACCTTCATCTCCCTTATTGCATTTGATCCTCATTAAAAAAAAATACACACCCTGGTATCACTCTTCCCACTTTATAGATGAAGTCACTGAAGCATTGAATGATTGTGTTATTTGCTTAAAGCCACAAGATGGAAAGGGGAAATGAGACTGGGAGCCAGGCTTTCTTCTGTTAAGTTCTCACTCTGCACTGTCCAATAAGCTGGACCCAGGCGACTTCAGCATCACCATTTCTTTTGACACTACTCTAAATGGAATAATATCTCAACTTTTTCCTGCTGGCAACATGAGCGGCAGGTTTTGTAACTAATAGCAGAAATGGGCTGGGATAGAATTGTAGAGGCAGGTAGAAACTTGGCTATTAGCTTCCAGCCTCCTCAAGCATAGCTGAGAGAGAAGGAATTAAGACATGGCCCAGACATAATGGCAACATTCCTTTTAACTAAAAAGTGTGGTCTCTTTCTTACTTATGTATATGTATTTTCTTAAGCATATGATTTCATCATCTGAAAGGATTGGAGTTATTTTTTTTTCCTAACAAATTTTGGATTACATTTTTGGCTTCTTCCCTTTGACACTTTGCTTTCTCTTGGTTTTACTGAAAAAAAAATATGGATTGGTGAGGAGTAAGAATAAGGATGATATTGAAGATGTATAGTTAGGAAGCAACTGCAGACTCCCAGGTAAAGTTATACTGATCTGAACTATAACACGAGAATAGAAGTTTCTATTAAGATACTCTATTAAGATCTTCCCCTTAGAAGATCCCACAGGTGAAGGAAGAACTCTCTCCACGATGACTGAAGGTTGGATAAAAAGGTCGGAGAGAAATAAGCAGTGACTTCAAATATGAACTCCAATCAAAGAAAGGTCACAAGGGCTGAGACCACAACCAGAGCACTTGCTCTGCTGTCTATCAGGCTTGCATGAAAGCATCGCTCAGATTTGTATTAGCTGGATTAATAAATGAATTTAGTGATGGCAAGCTATTTCCCAAAGCAAAGTTGAGAAGAAGTCTGTAATAAATGTGTGCTGCCCAGTCATTGTGGGCACCTTCTACAGACACCCTCGTCCTGACTAACTTTCACTACTGAATAGTCCTTGTCTTTGCAGAAATGAAGTCCTCAAATAAAGGGACTTTCTGTAATACATGGGCCAGCCACCCACCAAACAAAGCACAAAATGACTGCATTGAACCTGGGTCTCACCAATCTGTCAGGACTAGTTGGCCCATAAGCTCCAGGATCCTCCTGTCTCTGCCTCCCAGGAGCATGCTGCTTGGATTTTTGATTGTTGACCTTTTTAAGTTTGCTTTGTTTTGATTATCTTGCTCCTGAGTAAGTACAGGGTAGATGTTTTAAGAAGATCTCAGAGCCTCACAAGAGACCTAGGGCTTCTTTATGTGTGCCACAATGTCCAGGGCATAAGGAAGACCTTCAAGTAGATAAGGATGTCTCCCTAAAAGCAGGAGCGGTAGTATGATTAGGACTTTCCTGGGGAAGCTTAGAAGCAGGACTCCTGGGAGATGGTACAAATGATTCATACGAAGTTTCCATCAATCCAATATCCTCAAATTGTACAAATATTTAAAGTCCCCCAAGCAGGCAACGTGTGGAGATCAAAACCAAAAGTGGCACAACAGACATCATGAGGCTCACCTTTGCTGGATCTTTGTCAAGCAGCTGGCCTGGCTTTATGACTTTTGCTGTTCTCATCAGATAGGGCCGTGCCATAAGATTTTTTTTTTCAGAGTCCTGTCATGTCTATGAAAGCAGTTCTAAAAAGTGAAAGCTTTCCCACATTGCTTGTATGTGTGGTTTCTCTCAGTGTGGATCCTTGCATGTTTTTGAAGGTATTGGGAATGAATGAAGGTGAGCTGGTTAATTTTGTTGATTGGATTGGATTAAAAATGCCTAGAGAATCCGTGAGAAACGCACCTGCCAGGAATATCTTCGAATTCCCAAAGAGGTTTAACTGAGGAGGGAAGGGCACACATGGAATGTGAATGGCCCTAATTCCATGGGCTGGAGAGCTGGACTGAATGGAAAAGGAAAATATCAGAAAGGTGCCAACATTCCCCTTTTTCGGCTTCATGGCCCACCAATATGTGAGGTGTATTAGCCACATGCGCATTCCCCAGCCCATGCAGCTACTGCCACCACAGTATATCACAGATAGGGGCCGCTCCTCCAGTGATGCTGAGCTTCTCTAAAGAACTATGGCCCACCACAGTCCTTCCAGAAGGTCCTAACAGAATCGAACTAATTCTATAATCTTTGTGTAATGCAAATGAAAACAAGTGCCTGTTATTATAACTTACTAAACATACTGGAGTTATCTGCCACACAGCAAAAAGAAAACAGTGGAGTATTTATGTATATAAAGGTTTGCAAATGTATCTGCCATGTTTATTTGTATATGCTTATGTACAATATATGTAATTATAGCAATATTGTTTTTGTTTCATTATTTATGGGGTGTGTGTGTGTGTGTGTGTGTGTGTGTATGTGTGTTCTATGTATTGATTTTCATAATCAAGATTTGGATAGCTTTCCATATGGATATGTCTAGATCTAGTCCATTCCCTGTAGTAACAGTCAGAACAATCTTTCTAGATCATACATTTGGTCATACTGCATGGCTAACCTGCAGTGCTGACAGATGAAGGCAGTCACCAGCAGTGCTCCTGGCTGTCACAAGCCCTTCCTAAAGGGGGATCTAGATGGAATATCGGTGTCCATCATAGCATTTTTGTGTACCCAGGCCCAGATTCAAATACATCCTGGAAGCATGTTCTGCTACTTCTTTGGTGGGGAGGGGAGAGCCCAGAAGAGGAAGTAAGTGAGATAGGCCACAGCCCCTGCTTTTGTAGTCTTCATTGGAAACACAACTGATATTTATCATCTCCCTCATCTACCATCTATTCCAGACTCTTTGATCCCTGGCAAGTACCTGCTCTGGATGGCCTGGCTGGTAAGAGTGACCCAGACATGCACCCTGAGAGCTCTATGCCCTAGTCATCATATTCTTTTGCCACTGAGCGTCTTACATTTGTACACTTACTGTCAAAATGGTACAAGCACCAAAAAGCAACCAGTTAAATCATCCATGTAACAGATATATTTCCCCCACACACCACATTTTGTTCTGTCAGGTGAATTCTACCTTCAGACAGCCAGTCCACTAACCTGATTTCCTTTCCATTGTTGAAAACTAGGATGTTTTAAAATCCTCCCCCCACTCCCCACCCCCGTGTGTGTGTGTGTGTGTGTGTGTGTGTGTGTGTGTGTGTGTGTGTGTGTGAAGTTTTAGGAAAATACAAATACCAAAGAGAGGACTGTCCACCCTTCACTGAGTGATATGGAGGAATACTACTTACTGGCTTGCTCCTCATGGCTTGCTCAGCCTGCTTTCTTATACACCCTAGGACCACCCACCTGAGGGTGGCACCACCCACAGTGGACTAGGCCCTTCTACATCAATCACTCATCAGGAAAAATGCCCCACAGGCCAATCTGATGGAGGCAATTCTTCAAGTGAGGTTTCCTCTTCATGGATGGTTCTAGTTTGTGTTGACAAAAATTAACAGTATAAGACCCCAGACCACACATTCTAGAAGATTCCTTTTATGTGAGATATCATAACAGAACCCTTTCATGCCCTTAAAAGTAAGATAATGCTTAGGTGTGAGAAGAGCATCCTGGAGGGATCATGTGGGCCTCCTGATGCTTTTGTTTGGAAAATCCAGCTATTGATAGCCTTTGTACATTCTAACTCTTTTAGCTAATTGATTGGGGATCTATTAGATTACTAATAAGAAGCAGAAGAAAAGAAACAAACAAGAGTGGTAATGATAATAGAACTAATCAAAATGATTACTATGAAGAGATTTCATTTCAGCCAGCTTCCATCTATAGGGAGGAAAGGGCACATTTATTTGGCCATTTTGTTCCTATTGTTTTCCCCAAAGTACCCCTGTGATCACCGAAGTGTCATGCTGTGGAATAATTTACGCTTGCTCCAACCTACTTTGGGAAGTTCAGAGCAATGGGCTGCAGGGCACAGTTGTAAGCAGCTTTGAAGTCTGATTGCATTATTTCTATGTAATGCAAATTGACAAGCTCTCTAAATTAGGCAACTAACTAGAAAATGAAGTCTGAAAGCCAGTTTTAGTATAGCAGTCGGGATTCTGCCCCCAGGACATATCTGTGGCCAGGGCTTGGGTCTGGAGTCATTTTCCTCACAGGGAATTTGGATGCTAACTAGGAGGGAGAAGATCAAGTGGAGGGGCCAACAAATATACTAGGGGGGTTGAAATGTTTGAGGGGTTATTAAGCAAATATTTGTATGGTTATTTTTATATGTCAAACCCAGTAAGGGCTCACTCCATAAATAATGAGTCGTTTAACCCTTTCAACAAGCCTGTGAAGTAAGCAGAATTACTGTCATCCTCTGTGTGTGTATGCGTATGTGTGTGTGTGTGTGTGTGTGTGTGTGTGTGTGTGTGTGTGTTCGTACACATGCACACATACATGCATGTTGCATATGTATGTGATACACGCATATGAGTTTATGGATGTGCTCACATGGAAGCCAGGGCAGGATGTAGGGTATCCTTCCTTTATCACTCTTCACATTGTTTTGGTCACTTACTGAACCTGGAGCTCACTGACTCAGCGGGACAGATCTTCCTGTCTCCACCCTCCAGTACTAGGATTACAGGCACAAATCAACACCCCCCAACTTTTTACACTGGTGCTGGGATCTGAACCCAGGTCCTCCTGTTTGCATCACAAGGACCTTGCTTACTGCGCCATCTCTCCACTCCCATGGGGCACATTTCTTTATGCATCCTTCCCTAATGTCTGAGTACCTGACAAATGTAAGACCTCACTCTAGATGATGTGTAAAGCACTATGGTCTCTGTGCTGTCTGTTTTAATTCATATCTCACATGATCCCTCAAGGTGTTATGACTACTCCCAATTCCTACAAAACTAGGTTTTAAAGATTTCATGGGTTTCTGTGGTCACACAACTTGTGAGTCTTCAATTCATTCCAGTGGCAGAGAGAAGAAAGAACTCATTTCATAAATGTTCTTGGATGATTTTGTGAAATTATCATAGACTAGGCATGGCAGCACATACCTGTAATCCTAGTTACTGAGAGGCTGAGGCAGGAGAATTGTTGAGTTGAGTGTCATATGTTCAGGGAAAGCCTGAACAACTTAGTTTATATTTGATCTCAAAGCTAAACATCGCAAAGATCAGGGAGAGGAGGAATACCGTTTCTCAGAGGTGTGGCCACTGTTGCCCCCACCCATTCTTCAAGTAAAGAACCCTCAACCCATGCTCATACAGGCTAATTAAGTGAAGTGGTACACACACATACACAGGCACACACACATACACAGGTATATAAGCACACACACACACACACACACACACACACACACACACCAAGTAGGAAGAAGCAATTTTATGGGAGAGAGGAGAAAAGAAGGGGAGAACGATGGGGAGGCTTTAATCAAATAGCATTCTATATATGTATGAAGTTATAAGGAAATAAATAAATTACAAGCCATAAGCCCAAACAAAAAAAAGTTTTAAAATATTAAGTACATATAGCCTAAAATTTCTCATCTTAAGTGTTCAATTGGGTAGTATTAATTATGTTTACTTTATTGTACAGCTAACTTCCAGAACTCTTGAGCTTGTAGACCGAAACAGCGCCCCTCAATTTCACCGCCCTGAACAGAAGTGAACAAACAGCTCTTTGAGATCCTGCTTTCAATTCTTTTATGTCAGCAAGTTTCTTATGATCAACTACTAATATGAAACCTGGTGAGTCTATGACGAGAGAAAGCATTGTGAAAGTCAGAGTCAATGTGATTCTGTGAGACTGAGACTTTAGGGATTAGACTCCGGAATTCAAGAAGCAGATAGAGAGGGGCACCCTCCTTCTGCATCATTCCCACTCCCAACAATGCAGTCCTTGCTCTTGGACTTTCTCATCATTAACTGGGCAGTGCCTCTAACACCTGGGTCAGCATCCTCTGCTATGACCAACTCATCCATCTCAAGATACAGTCCAGAACTCAGTGCTGTGTGGCTGCAGCCTGGCTATGAGAACCAGTTTTCAAAAACTCATTTTCAACCCAACTGACTGACCCATCCAGTGCCACATGGCCCCTGGCCATAGCACACACCTGGGATCATAGCAAATGACAATTCCAAAGTAAAGCTTTCAAAGCTCAGGCTCCAGATTAGCAGTGCCAAAGGGTCACTATCCTGGGGAACAATATTATAGTGAGAATGAGAATTGGACAAAACTTGGGTGATGTCTCAACTCATAACGTGCTTACCAGAAAAGCATGAATTCAGACCCCCAGAACCCATGTGTTATGGTTTTACTTCTGTTGCTATGAAAAAAAAATGCTGACAAAAACCAACTTTAGGGAGAAAAGGGTTTATTTCATCTTACAACTCCAGGTTACAAGACATCATTGTGAAGAAGTCAAGGCAGGAACTTCAGCTAGTCACGTACACACACACACACACACACACATACTTGAAATCGTAAGAGAAAGAGAATGAAAATGTTTTTTGCCCAACCTTACTTATTATGGGAAAACTTTAAGGTTCCCCCCTTAAACACACTGGGCCCCAAATACAACTGTTTATAAGCCAAAGTTAATATTGTCTGTTCCTACCTTTCCCTTAGCTTGGCATAGAAGAGCATGCCTTTCTGTCAAAACAGACTTGCTAGAGAAGCCTGGCTGAAGCAGCCTGGCCAGCGTAGAGCTGGAGAAGGAGGAATGTGAATGGTGAAAACTTAAGGGGCACATTCTGCCCAGAGCCAGGGATGTCTTTACCACATTACCAACATCTCATTTGCTTGGACATATGACTATGGCTTAATCTAGACTCTTAGAGGGCAGGGGTCACATCTCTTTGCCTTATTTTATCTTTGGCAGATGGGAGTCTTTAGTCTTGACTCATTGACAAGACCCGTTTTTATACGATCTCAGCATGGTGGATGGTCTCAGAAAGAACTCCATCTGTAGACTGTCCCCTTTTGGTTCAGAAGCCCAAAGCAATCACTTTCAAATGGTTGTATTGATCATGGCTCTGTCTTTGATGTACAAAGGCTGCAAAATTTAGGCCAATGCTGAACATTCCAAATGCCTCAGAAGCAGATCATCCTCCACAGGCAAAAGGAAGCGTGGGACAATGCCAAGCAACCAAGGGAAGGGGCATTGTGCAGTTAGGGATCAAAAGCATGAGTGAGGTCCAAGGCTTCAAGCCTTAACAGAACAGCTGGGCCTTGGCCCTCCGCCCTCCGCCCATGGTTTCAGCTTTCTGCTCTTCTTTTTGTCATGGAAATGCGGTTCCTTGGAAGCCGCAGATAAAATAATGAGCCGAAGATAGCAGGTTCCAAGTGGCATCTGTTCTTTAGCACTGGGACCATCACCCCTTCTGTGAGATCTCTGGGGCTGCTCCACAGCCCTCTGCCTGCCGCTTCCACTGGTCATCTAATTTAACACTCAGAGACCGACGGCAGGGAAGTCCATAATGTGTACGGTGGGTGGCTCTACTCGAGCAAAAGAAAGGTAGCACCAGGTCAAGAGGGAGAGGCAGGAGAGCCCGCAACAGAAAGTGAGATTTAAATAAAAAGCTCGCCGGGGAGGGGGCGGGGGGGGGAGGTACTTAGAGAAAGAGCACTTTATTTTTAGAAAAGAAAAGGAATTAGGAGCGGATAATGGTTGCCACGGCAACAGAGCACTGCCTATATTCCATAGGCCCAGCTTTAACAGAACGGATCCCCCGGTGACTTTCTGAGAAAATACAGATGGAAATAAAAAGGCTGTCCAGGAACAATGTCTCACATTAGTCCAGCTGCCTCTTCGCTGCCGTTTTCCAGGCTCTCGGCGCCATGGCCCTGCAATTCGCTTAAAAACCAAGCTTCATGCTTTGCACGAAAATTCACGCTTAAATGAGGATTTCATTTTGTCTTCCTTCACCATTCCTAACAGTGCTTTACAAATTGAGCAGAGAGTAGCAGACCCAGGTGCAAGGCTGGAGAACCTGGAATTCTCAATTGGAAAGGGAAGAGGTCCTGAAGAAGGGGGTATCAGGGCTTTTGAATTAACCTGGAGAGACCCAATGAATTGGTTGCCAATGGTTGGAGGACAAACGACTCAAATTTCTGGGCTCTCTTGAAAGTTTAGCTATAACAACTTTTTTTTTCTTTTTTGCCTGTGTGTATGTGTGTGTGTGTGTGTGTGTGTGTGTGTGTGTGTGTGTGTGTGTAAAATGAGTGTGTGTGCTAGTCTATGTGGGCATGCGTAGAATTTGGGGGTTGACATCAGGCTGGCTTCCTCAACCACTTCACCTTATTTATTTATTTGAGACAGCATTTTTCACTGAACCCAGAGCTCAGCTTTCTGATTAGACTGGGCTGCCCAGCAAAACCTTCAGATCTGCCTGTCTCTGTCCTCCGGTACTGGGGTCGCAAAGGTGTGCCTCCATGCCTGACTTCTACAGGGCTGCTTGGGATCCAAACTCAGGTCCTCACTGCAAAGCAAACACTTTCCCCGCTGAGCCACCTCACCAGCACCAAAGGAATGTTTAATTCTTTGAGGACGCAGATATTTTGTTATAGGAATCAGAAATGAACACCCCACATTTTAAGATGCTTCTGTTGAAAGAGACGGCAGGGTGTTTTAAGAAATTATCTCATGGAATTGTGGAAGTCCACACCCAAAATCTGCCAGACTGCCAGGAGACAGAAAATTTGCAGGAAGTTCAATGGCTGTAACAGCCATTTGGTTGTGACACGTGACATTTCACTGATCACCAGGTTCAAGTGGTAGGATGCTATCCTCTTTCTCCTCTTCTTGGCATCTTGACTTTACATCCTTGAGAAAAGAGAACAACTTATCTGAGTCCTTAAAGAATTCAATCTCTGAGTCCTCAAGGAACTCAAGGGAAGAGTATTCCCACTTCATGAGCTTTGGGGGCACACAAGGCTCACAGTGCCAGATGGTTAGTCCATGACCATCATGGTGGGGGGCATGAAAGCTCTCTGCCCTTCAGAGAGCTATCAGAGCATTATACATCTGAGCATTTACATTATACATGAAAGCAGTCAGGCAGGCATGGTGCTGAAGCAGAAGCCAAGAGCTTATATCCTGATGCAAAATTTGGAGACAGAGAAAGAGGGGGAGGAGAAGAGAGAGAAGAGTGTGAGAGAGAGACAGACAGATGAGATAGATAGATGATAGATAGATAGATAGATAGATAGATAGATAGATAGATAGATAGATAGAAATAGATAGAGATAGATGGATGGATGGATGGATGGACGGACGAATGGACAGACTGGGAATGGTGTGGGTTTTTGGAACCTGAAAGCCCATCCCTAGTGACACACTACCTCCAACAAGGCCACACCTCCTGATCCTTCCCAAGCAGTCCCATCAATTGCTTGGGAAGACCAAACATTCCAATATATGAGCCTACAGAGGCAGTCTCATTCAAACTACCACAGGTGGTCTCCTTTTCATGGAAGAAGACTATAGGAAGCAGGTTTTAGGACAACCATCATGATTTGCCAATCTCCCCTTGACTCCTCCACCCTGTTAAGATTCTAACTTGTAGCATCACTATCTGCTGTTGGTGGACTGTGATCTACCCCTAAGGCAGCTTCCTATGCATCTGAGAGTCCCCCATCCTTAGCTATGTTGGTGGAGTTCTTTCCCTTCAGCTCCGCAGCTTTATTGCAGCTGTTACCAGCTGTCACTGGATGGAGGTGAGGAAGGGAAAACACGTTCCTCCACACTAACACGGACGGTCAGGGAACACCAAGGGGGCTTCTCAGATGTATAATGCTCTGATAGCTCTCTGAAGGGCAGTGAAGAAGACATGGAGTGGTGTTCCATAAAACAATACAGATTAATCTCTTTGGATAAGGACAAGCAGAAGCTATCCATGACTATCAACACACTGGTCCTGTTGCTATATCATTCAAGAACCATCCAGTATGTTCAAAGCCAATTTGTACAACTTTAAGGATCTCTTGTCTCAAAAATATTTTTTAAAGGACTAGGGCGAGGGCAAAGGGGTTTTATAGACATCAGAGTGACAGTTGCCTCTGGAGTTGGCTTCTCCAACCTTCAAATCTGAAAGTGCTAGAGGCAGATGTTTGCTAACGCAGGCGTACCTGGCTTCACGGTCTTCTAGCAGCAGCTACCGTTCCGAAGCAGAGAGAACTGTTTGTACATTCACAGGGATGCCCAAAACACTTGGGTGGAACACCAAAGCAACAAGAGGTACCTCATCATGAGTTCTAGGGTAAAAACAAAAGTCTGAGAGGTAGGATTCATTTCTGTGAATGAGGCCCCATTGTTAATGTTGGACAGGTACAGTCTGAGGAAATGGTAGCTTCTAAGATAATGAATCATCACTCCTGGATTTAAGCTTGGTTAAGCATGTCTACTCCTGTTTCCCCCTCCTTACTCTCTGTTCTCACTCTCATTTGTATTCCCCCCACCCCCGGAAAAGCCATGACCTAAAATAAGCCTGTTGGCTCAAGCTCATAATCCCAGCTATTCTTGAGGCAGAGGCAGAAAGATCACAAATCCAAGGCCAGCTTAGGCTACAGAGTTCATTCAAGGCCAACCTGTGCAACTTAAGGAGCTCTTGGCTTCATATTTTTGAAGGGGCTAGAGATACTGCTAAATGGTCAAGCACTCATCTCATGTGAGCAAGATTCTTGACTCAACCCCAGTACTGCAACAGAGCAAGAAGAGAGACAGGGAGGAGATAGACAGGTAGACGGACAGACAGATAGATCTAGAGAGATAGAGAGGATAGAGAGATAGAGACGGGGAGATAGAGAGAATATGTAAACTATCTTTCAGACTCAACCCACTTAGCTTGAGAAAGCTAGGCAGAGAAAATAACTCCTGAGACCCAGAACTTGGCAGTTCATTGGAAGTTCTGCTCTCTGAACTATTAAGGGGAAGGATGTTGTGTCAATTGCTGCCACCACAGAGCTGCTTGGTGATGAGGTGACCCGAGGGTGGCCCTGGGCTGCAGCTTGCACTTGGCCTCTGCTGCTAGACTCCTTGATAGTGTGTTCTCCTCTCCTCTCAAGACACCGTCTTCTTGGCTTTTGGGAGGGTGGGTAAGGACTACCCTCATATTAAAGGAATTCTGAGGATTGCCATTCTCCGGACAAGCTCTCATGATGGACGCATCCACAGCTCTCTTGGCAGAGCATGGGGTGCTAAAATGGGGCCTCTTGTTAGCATTTCTAAGGGAGACATTCACTATACCATTGTCTCCTATCCACTCACCATGAAATACAGGGCTTTACCCCAGAAGAGGTACAGGAGTCCTAGCTGCAGGATCATGGCTTCCCTGGGAGCCAGCTGGTGTTGGGTTGGCTTATGGGCTCAGGCCACAGACCAGTGTGATTGCCTTCCTGATGGTCCCAGATGTCACAGCCAGGCAGAAGAAAGAGAAGGGTAGACTGATGTCTGACCTCCTGTCAGCCCTCAGCTTCGGACAGAGACTCTTCTGTTTAGGTAAGAAGGAGGGTGAGGGTATAGGTACCCAAGCAGACTATCTGTGGAGGAGCCCTGGGGTCAGAACCAGCTGGGGGTCATTCACAGAAGAGACAAGGGATTCAAGGTAGCAGAGCCAGGAAACCCCAGGCGCTGTCTCCTTGAGTCAGACTTGAAGGAGAACTTCCCCTACAAGGTGGGCCATTTCCATTTGACAATGCTGAGCCTGTCCAAAGCTTGCTGCGGAGACCAAGTCCTTGGATGGAGTTTGTGAACACAGCTTCTGGGTTCTGCCGTCAGTCACCTTGTCCTGTCTCCTGTGACATAATGAATGGGGAACACTGAAGAAACCTCCCTGAACAAAGTCCAACAGGCAGGCGGACCCTAGGGATAGAGACAAACCAAGCAGGTCCCATTTCATTTTTTGCAGGAGATGAGTCCGTGGCTGTCCATAGCCTGAAAAGTCCTGGCCCCCAATACTTCGGAATGTGACTTTCTCTGGGAAAGGGCTGCTATAATTGTAATTAGTGAAGATGAGGCATAGTAGAGTAGGGTGGGCCCTTAATTCTATGTGCCTGGCCACTTCGTGGTCTTAGTACGCTTTCTGTTGCTCTAACACATCACTGAAGATTTGGTGATTTATTTATTTATTTATTTTTTAAATGGCTGATGGTTCTGGAGTCTGGGAATCTAAGAGTACAGAACGGCAAGAGTTCGATATCTGATGAAAACTTTCTTGCTGCAGTCTCACGTGACAGAGGACATCATCTGACCAGACAGACCAAAGAGGCCTCTCTTCTTATGAAGCCACTAATACCACCATGGAGACCCCACTCTCTTGATCTCATCCAGTTCTACTTACCACCTGAAGGTCTCCACCCCTGAACACCACTAACTATGACTTGGAGGATTTAGTTTCCAACACCTGTTTCTGGGTGTTCAAACTTCAGCATCATAAAAAGGGACGTCTGGAGGTAAACATTCCAACTGTCTCTAGGTGCAGACAAGTATCTAATCCAAGCAAAAGTGGAGTGATTAATATTCTTTTTCCACACAATATTTATTATAGGAACATGAAAGTACAAACAAAACACACCACTCATATTCCCACTGATGAGATTTTTTTTAATGTTTTTAATGGTTGTATTTCATTTACTTTTATTTTATGTGTATGAACATTTGTCCATTTATCTATACATGCACCGAATGTGTGCCATGTCCATGGAGACTAGGTGAGGGCACTGGATGCCCTGGAACTGGGGTCACAGATGGTTGTGAGCTATCTGATGTGAGTCCTGGAAACCAAACCCACGTCCTGTGCAGGAGCAGCCAATGCTCTTAACTGCTGAGCCATCTCCCAGCCCCTAAAAATGTAGTTTTTATTTTAGTGTAAGTATTTCTGGCATGAATGGGATTACACTGTGCATATTTTAAACATAATTTTTATTGCAATGATACATTGTGAAGAGCTATATATATATATATATATAAATCCTGCGTTTTCCTTTTTGAGCAGCAAAAGAGCACCCCTTTCCGTGGATGAACGCTACTCTGCATCGTTAATAGAAAACCAGTGATATGGTGACACTCTAGAATATTCTATATACTTTTTGGGTTCTACTTCAAATAACACACACACACACACACACACACACACACACACACACAAAATCACAAATCTTTTCATAGAGAACAAGATCTAATGTCTCAGATTCCTCCAGTCTCCTCACTTGAGCACTGGGACTGCAGGCATGGACCACCATGCTTGGACTTTTTCATGAGTGCTGGGGATCGAATTCAGTCTTCATGCTTCCCCATCAAATGCTTTACCTATACTGAGCCATCTCCTTGGTCTTTTCTTTTTTTCAAAGAATGTTCTTTAGGATTGTGTCAGCTAGATGTGCAGCCCTTTGGCACACCTATAATGCCATCAACATTTCTGTTTTTGTTTTTTTTTTTAATGTCTTCAACATGGAATGAGAACTTAGGAATCAGCTGAGCAATCCTGGGAGAAATTCTCCATGGCTGTCTCACCCACATCTTATGAGCAACAATTCTTTACCAGCTTTTCCTTTAATTCCATCTATAAAGTTCTTCCTAGACACTTAACACCATTCACAAAGAAAACTCTTCCTTTGCTCCAGGCTGGGCTCAGTTTGCATACTATTTCATCATATTTCAAGATCCCATTAATGGACACAGAGGCATAGACCACTTCAGGGTCAATCCCAACTGACTCTTCCTGAGTACATTCCTCCAGGTGGCTGCAAGAGTACCCAGTACATTCCATGCTCCTCTGAAGAGCCCACCAATCCTCCTGTGAGATCTTTTCCTCTATACTTCTACATGATAGAAGTATAGAGGAAAAGACATCCAGTTCAGTCAGATCAGCTAAAGCGCCATCAACCTCCCTGAGACTGATTTAGCCTTGTGATTGAAGAGTTTGGTTGTTTCCTATTTGATTGTATATTGTGAACACTGAACCTTCAAGGTGTTTGTTAGCAAATCCTAAAACTACAGGTAATCGGCCAGTCTAACCTAGACTGGCTTAGGGTGTATGTACAGTAAAGCAAACTGTGTCCTCAAAAAGCGTCCAGAGAGATGCTTTGTACTTACCTTCCTTTAACTCACTTTCGATATGATTCTCAGGGTTAGCCTCTGCCCAGTCCCTCCAAAGACAATCTACCCGGCCGGACACAGAGGGTTACAGTAAACAACAGATCCACTCTTTATTGCCCTCTTCTGTATTTTATCAGTGGGACAATGATCAAAGTATATGAGCAGAGAGGCACATGACGACTGAGTTTGTGTGAGGCTCTGTCCTATTTTTAAGACTTGTGAGCTTATTCTCTCAACAGTAGAGGCCATCCTCCACATCCCCATCCATGCTCATGCAGTGTCACCCCCAGACTGTGACATATGAATCTCTCTGTAGTGGATAGAATGTCCTATGTATCATCTTTTGCCTATGCATCATTGAGTGTGCATATAACTAAAACCAGATGCATCATGGGAAATGATATGCTTAGTGAACAAAGGCTTACAAAACCGAAGCCTATCAATCAAACAGAAAACCAGCCTCATTCTGTTCAGCAACCGATTCCTCTTCTTCCTAGACCCACAAAAGGAAGCCCTGAGTCATCAGTCTGGCCTCTTGTTTAACAGTCCTTCCACGCGTAAGCAAGCATACACAGAGTTTTAATTCAAGCCCATGTTCAACTGCTCTTCCAACCTGCTGGAAAGATGGCGTATAGGGTTTACTGAGAGGGACAGCGGTGGTGAACCTAAAGTGTCCCTGTTCTTATCTACAGTGGCGCTTTGGGTCTGGGGACTCTCTCCACACCAATAGAATTACAAATCTGCCGTCTTCTCTCTGGGTTCCACCACATCTACCAGGAAGCTGATAGTTGGGTCCCTTGTCTAAGAACCATCTAGAATCTAGAAGTGACCCATGTTCCTTCTCGGTCTTCCCTTCCCGCCGTCTAATTCTCGATCCATCTTTAGGTAAATTTCTTTTAAAATTCGGTCAGATCTTCATTGACACTCTTTTTGTTAAGATTTCAGGATTTTAGGGACCAACTCTAGCCCTACTGGGAACATAAATACAACTGAATGAGAACAGTGATGAAAGCAAATATCAAGAAAAAGCAAGTTATTAAGACGAAATTGCTCTGCCCTACATCTGTGGCTCACAGCACGCTGCAGATGTACCTCACTCCTTGAGAACATTTAGCCTTTTCATGGGAGGTCACAGTGTTAACAATATTATCACTTGAAACCTATTATATTCAATGCCTAGAATAAATTTAGAATAGTATGTAAAGCGATCTTACATTTAGATAATTATTATCCAGCAAATTATATTATCTATGGGCTTTGCTGATTTGAATTTGTGGTAAATTTAACACAAATTCTTAGTGGTTAAAATGTCTCATAAGGAAGCTGAGTAAAAACCCTTTGATCCAACAAGATTCTGATGTCATGGCCTGAGCCATGGAAGAGTGGTTAAGAGCCTAGTTGCTCTCACAGAGGACCAGGATTCAATTCCTAGCACCCACAGGGTGGCTCATAACCATCTATAACCCCAGCTCTAGGGGATCTGGTGCCCTCTTCTGGCCTCTGCAGGCACTGCAGGCATGTGGTGTACAGACACACATGCAACCGAGATGCCCATACACATAAAACAAAATAAAAAATTTAAAATATTCTACTGCCAGCAACTCTATCCAGGAATCTGGGTCAGATCAGCTGGGGCCACTGAGAGAAAAATGGTACTACCTTCATCCTTAAATAGCATACAACTCCATTTAACTAATGAGTTGAGAAAGGTCCGTTAAAACTATTAAATGATGACACATGAAGTCTGAGTCGAAAGTAATGAATTAAAATACTTTTAAAAGAAAAGAGAGAAAGCATGACCATTTGATTGTCTGCTTCTGCAGTCAGAGAGATAACCACCTAACCCGCAGAATACCTTCCAGGAGGGAATCTTTAAGTGCTGTTTTTTGTTGTTTTGTTTTTCCATTCCATCTTCCATCTGTAGCAGCCAGATGAGACAGGTGGCATTTCAGAATGGAAGACTCAGATAAACATTGCATCCACCCCTCAAAGCCTCCGAAGTTCAGACCAGGACAAGGTCAAACCATCTAGGGGGAACTCTTCTACCTCATTCGTTTTACTCTTGCCCAAATGTCTTCATGGGATGGAAAGAACATGGGAAGTAGTGTTGGAGTCAGGCTACCATGGTCTCACTCCATCTGCTGTGCAGTCTTAGACAAAGAACTCAATCCCTCCTTGTGAAAACATCCCCAAGTCTCATCCCTGCCAGAAATGAGCACTCCTCTCCGTGCTGACATTTGTGTTACTGCAGTGCATTGTAGCAGGCTGTCTTATCGGACTACCTTAGGACCTCCAGCCCGCAAATAATGACTCAGAGACTTATTATTAATTATGAAAGTTTGGACTTAGCTTAGGATTTTCCCCAACTAGCTCTTATAACTTAATTAACCCATATTATTTTAATCTATGTTCTTCCATGTAGCTTGGTTACCTTTTCTTTGGGCACATCCAACTTGCTCTGAGTCTGCTGGCGAAATTGCATACCTAGATTCCTCTTCCCTGTTTCTCTCTCTCTGTGCCCAGAAGTCCTTCCTATTCTCTCCTGCCTAGCTATTGGCCATTTAGCTCTCTATTAAACCAATCAGAAGGCGCCTTAGGCAGAGACACATCTTTACAGTGTAAACAAACATTCAAAACAGTGCATGGGTCTTACCAAGCTCTGCTGTGTCAACCACCAGCTCGTTGCCTCTAGCATTTGGCTGCTGAGAGCGTGACTGAATTGTACCTGTATGTCCAAGACAGAGCAGAGCCTGGTGCTTGGCGATGGTGTTAGGAGACACAGACGGTATTCTGTGACAGCCATCACATCTGCCAGACAACACTGTTCCTGGGTTCCCGGACTATGACACAGCTGCTCACGGTATCAGACCACACTGTAGATAGAGGCTGAAGTCATAGCAAGCTAGTGAAGCAGAACTCACTTCTAGTCTTAATCCTATCACCAAGAGAGATGCTTTGCACCTACCTTCCTTTAACTCACTTCTGATATGATTCTCAGGGTTAGCCTCTGCCCAGTGCCTCCAAAGACAATCTACCCGGACACAGGGGGTTACAGTAAACAACAGATCCACTCTTTATTGTCCTCGTCTGTATTTTTTTTTTTTTTGTATCTAAAACTTGATTAGAATAGTATCATAGAGTACATAAGGAAATACATAATACATACAATATACACAGATGATAAATTGTATACATTACATATATTAAGTATTCTAGTACACAGATAAAATGGAATATTCCACATCCACTAAAATATGCGAATGTGCTAAAATGAAAGAGATATCTAAGACAGACACACTGTTCAGAGAAAAAGACATAAATTACAGGACAACATACATAAAATTATCCCTTGTTTGTAAATAATAAACCATATGGCTACATATATTTAGGGGAAAATCTGGAAAGTTATTCACCATACTGTCCACAGTGACTACTTAAGGGAAGTGGAACTAGGAAATTACTTTCTATTTCTTCTCTTCCTAGTTTAGACATTCTTATGTATATGTATAATATTTTACAATAAAAATGATGCTTCTCATTCTCCTTTCAGCTTGGGGGTTACTTTCAAGTCTGACACTAGAAAGAATGAACAAAGAGAACTGAAAATTCCCAAAGCCTAATTCTCATACTTGAAAAAAATTATTCATGAGCATGCTGTTGTCAGTAGTTTCCAAATAAATCACTACAGGTAAATATTTTATTCAATCCGGAATTTTCTTTAAGGCTTCTCTAGAAATGGCAGAGTCATTGTTAGCTGGAGTGACTTCTTTCTCTAAAATTCACCTAAGTGAAGATAATGGATGCTATTTGTGGTTAGGCCTGTAGGTTTTTTTATTAAGTGGTCACATTTTTTCACCCAAAGGGATGATTCTCTGATGGTCAATTTGGGGTTTCCCATTAGATCACATATACAAATGACCTAAAGTTTACATGTGGAAGACTCTCACTGCCCAACCCTGCATAGTCTTTGATGACTGCTAATCTGGCTGCCCAAGAGCCTCATAAAGTGGCCTAACAGTGGCCTCCAGGATTGGGTCTCAAAGTTGCATTCATACACCAGTTGTTAACCGTACTTAGAGAACCAATCCAACCATAGTTGAGTCCACAGCCCTATGGAAGCTGAGACTAGTAACTAGACCGCTCCACGATTAATACATAAGAATGGGCTAGAAATAAGAAAGCCGAGCTAGGGTTCCAATGGAGACCTTCTCACTCACTTCGACCACCAATGTCAGGTTACATATTATCAGAATGCTGTCAGCCAAACATTGATTCACAAGAGCAAGGCACTGTTTAACCTAAATGTGTAATGACAGCCAGTCGATACAGCCTGGAGCATCCTTCGCCAAAGCACAGATACATCTTCCGAAAGGTTCAGCCTCTCCTCTGCGCAGCCAGGACTTCTCTCAAGGGCATGACCAGACCCTGGGTCTTTATCTCCTTTTGTATGTTCTCGTCAGAAACACAGTGATTCACAATCAGGTAATGTCCACTGTTTGCATATTCACAATCATATTCTACTTTACCTCATGAGCTCACTCCCTGAATCACCTTGAATCTCACAGCTAATGTTTATTAGTTGTGAAGACAGACCATTTCCTACTCGGTTCTCTAGCGCAGTTATTCACATCCACCATGGGAGAATTTCCCCATCTTTTCTTTGAAAAGACATAATCAGGATCAGATACCCTCTACAGAGCTAACAAATAAATAAACCAAGTCTCCGAAGATTAGCACATAATTTTCTTCTCGCTGCTACAAAAGCCAGGTAGGAAGTAGCGGACCCTCCTCCTTCTGGGGAGTCTGGATCCAGTTTCTGTCTGTCCAGTGAGACACATATCACCCGCTGGCCTGGATTCCTGCCGAGAAAAGCCAAGAGGGAAGGCAGCACTGGCTCTGAAGCCCCTGACAGCTGGCTTCCCACGTGCACTGTCAGTGGCCAGAGCTAATTATGCAGCCGACGTGACTGCAGAGGAGGCTGGCGGGCCACTAGACGATTTCGAGTACAAAGTGCCCCTGAAACAAACAGCCATTGGATGTCCAGGTTTTGAAAAGGCCCATCTAGGGGCTGGAGAGATGGCTCAGAAGTTAAGAGCACTTGTTGTTCTAGCAGAGGCCCTAGGTTCAGCCCCCAGCACCCACAGGGTGCCTCACAACCGTTGGTAACCCCAGTTCCAGGGGATCTGATGCCCTCTTCTGACCTCCTGGTACAAAGGTGGTGCACATACATACATGCCGATAAAACACTCATTTGTGAGTCAAGAGCGGGCCAGGCCAGCTGCAGACATGCTCTGCTGGTTCCCTGTGTGCTGCAGCCTCCTTGTCGGTCCTGGGCACAACACAGCTCTCCTCCAAGGCCCTAAGGAGGCCAGGCTCTGCAGGCCAACAAGCCACAGGGGACCTCAGGAGCCACCTGAGAGTTTCATGATTTCATCTTTTAACAGCCGAGTAGTATTCCTTTGTATAAATGTACCACATTTTCCTTATCCATTTATCTGTTGATGGGCATCTAGGCTGTTTCCAGTTTCTGGCTGTTGTGTATAGAGTAGCAATGAACATGGTTGAGCAAGTGTCTCTGTGGGAGGATGTAGAGTCCTTTGAGTACAAGCTCAAGAGTGGTAAAGCTGGATCGTGAGGTGGCTCGATTCCCAGCTTCCGGTGTCTTCACATGCTGCTGGTCATGGCGGCAGCTGGCAGTGTCTCCCCTCGTCTGTATTTTATCAGTGGGACAATGATCAAAGTATATGAGCAGAGGCACATGGTGGCTGAGTTTGTGTGAGGCTCTGTCCTATTTTTAAGACTTGTGAGCTTATTCTCTCAACAGTAGAGGCCATCCTCCACATCCCCATCCATGCTCATGCAGTGTCACCCCCAGATTATGACATATAATCTCTCTGTAGTGGATAGAACAGTGTGTCCCAAATGATAGGTCCATCCATAGCATAACCTAGAACCTGTGAACATGGCCTTATTTAGAAAATGGATCTTAGGAGTTATAATTAAAGTTCCTGAGATGAGAGCATCCTAGACGAAGTATTCCTTAGGTCCAATGACAGGTGCCCTTATAACAGAAATAAGGGGAGAGGGTGGCACAAAACTGGAGACAGAAATTGGAATGCTGCAGATGCACCAGAAACTGCAAGAGACGAAAATAGTCTCAAGAGGAGGCAGCACAGCCCCACCAGTGCCTTGTGCGAGACTTTTGGCCTCCAGGTGGTGGGAATAATACAATTCTGTTCTTAATCTACCAAGTTCATAGCTATTTGGCTATGGCAAACCCAGGAAACAAATACACTTTGCAAGATTCCATTTTCTTATTAATAAAACATGAATAGCAATTTCCCAACACATACTCCATGGATTTTAATGAGAAACTGTAGGAAAACTGTTCATATTAGCCCTCAGTAAATGGGAAGTACTAGATTCTCACCCTGTGCTTTTGGCATGTATGGGAGGTCATTTGAAGACCTACACTTGGAGATGTCTATGTGATGCCTCCATGGCAACCTGGATTGCTCTCTTAGAGTTAAGATTGGAGAACACTTAAAGAAGGACCAAGAAGTGAAAGGCCAGCTAAGAGACAGCTTTCTTAGATAAGCAGGATGCACTGTGATGATTGATCTTGGTAACATTACCAAAGAACCCCATGACACAATGGGCTAGAGTGATGGTTCTATGGACAAAATGAGTACATGAGTTCAGATCCTCAGCACCCCCACAAAAACTGGACATGACTGCATAAATCTGTAGCCTCAGTGCTGGGGAGCAGAGAGAGGCAGGTCCTGGGACTTGGTTGGCCATCCAGAATAGCTGAAATGGCAGGCTCCAAGTTTAGTGAGAGATGCTGCCTCAAAAAATGGGGTGGAGAACAACAGAAGAAGGACTTCCACTTGTACCTGTGCATAGGTAAGCACATACATGGACATATGCACACACATTCATATAACACACACACACACACACACACACACACACACACACAGAAGGAGGGATGGGGAGACAGACAGACAGTCACACACACAGAAGGAGGGATGGAGAGACAGACAGACACACACACATACAGAAGGAGGGATGGAGAGACAGACAGACAGACGCACACATTCATATAACACACACAGAAGGAGGGATGGAGAGACAGACAGATACATACAGAGAGAGAGAGAGAGAGAGAGAGAGAGAGAGAGAGAGAGAGAGAGAGAGAGAGAATAGTATGATATGAAACAGGTGTAGGCATCCAAAAGAGTATAGAAAAAGGAATGGGTGGGAAGACGTTGTCCACATCCATTATACATCTGGGGAAAAGAATCTCAGTCAAATTATTCCCTTGTCTTCCAACCTCTAGTTAAACTCTCTCGTCTGTATGGCGATAGGTTAACTGGGTGCCATCAATGTGTAGTGTGTCACACTGTGTTAGACTTTTTTGTGTATGTCAAAATATCTGAGAAAACTAAATAAGAGAAGGGGGTTCATTTTGGGTCAACGGTTGGGTGGTTCTGTTCCTTGGGCCAGAGATGAGTTAAAAGATCATGACAGTGGGAGCATGTGTGGAGTTCATCTCATGGTGGACAGGAAGCAGAGAGCATGGAAGAAGCTGGTGACTGACAAAGTCCCCTCAAAGGTACGTCTCCAGAGATCTACTTCCTCCAACTAGACCCACCTCTGAAAGTTCCCGATGTGTTAGACTAGTGCCATGAGACCTGTCGAGCCTCCACCACATGAGCTTCTAGGGGCATTTCACAGTCAAGTTGGAGCATGCTTCCCCTGGTTCCTTGTTTTCATAGCATCCTTTGGATGTTCAGGTAGATCTGCCTGCAGAGGAAAACGAACTCACTATGAAGATTTTGACCCTGTCTTGGAGATTTTTATGATCAATCCGAAGTATGGCATCTATTTAAGGTTTGTCTTCCCCATCATAACTAGGGAGACAGTGAGGACAAACGGAGCCTGTGGAAGCACTCCGGATCTTCCCAACAGTCACCGTATCACTGCTGCGTGTCTCATCTCGTGTCTCTCAGGATTTAGTCAGGCATGGCATTGACAAGGTCCCTAAGCCTCTTACACAAAGGCAACATGGGTGACACCACTAAGACATTTCTGCCTCATCCCTTCTCCTGATTCCCACAAAACCGCTTTTTATATTCCCTGAAAAACAGTCTTTCTCAAGAACATTTAATTATATCTCCTTTTGTTTCCCATACCCTTGGTGATTCTGTATTCTGAGATGGAAATTGGACATGCATGGGTGAGTATGTATCAGAGCAAGGGCACAGAATATTCAATGATGGAAGTAATTTTTAAAAATTCAGAACACATGACTCTCACGTAGTACTTGTGTGAGAAACAACAAAGAATTTCATTCTGGGATGAGCTGCCCTGCTTGGAGGAGCTGTTGAACTGGATTCTTTTGTAACAATAATTCTTTCTTTTCTGCCCCAACTATCAAGAAGCTCATTGTCAATCTGTTATTCAACCATAGTAACTGGATACATTCTTTTACTTCTTTAGCTTCAATTGTTCGTGTGTTCCCCTGTAATTATACTCCATGTTGAGCTTTGCTGGAGAGTTGTTGTCTACACATAACAGGTATTGGTTGGTTCCACCTTTTATGATCCCTTCTTTCCCCCAACTGACAGAAGCTCCCTTGAGGAACAATGTGACTGTGTGAGTTTGGACCAAGGACAT